CTAAACTTTTTGGAAATGGTTTTGAGAAATTAATCATAAATTTATAAGATGTAAATGAATATGTGTGGTTAAGATATTATTTGTAAACCAAGTCTCTTTTTGTAGCAATATGGTAAAATAAAGGTAATATAAACTATTGTATTCTAATTAATAAATTAACTATATAGCTTCTCGAAATCATACTTAAGATAAGACGATCTTAAATATAATTAAAATATCATTCTTAGGCCCAGTTTTACAACTCATGGTTAGCTCTTAATCGAGGTTTAACTTATTTCTCATCTCTTTCCAATTCTAGCATCACACAGAGATGAGAAATAAATTAAACCTCGGTTAAAGGTTAACTATAAATTATGAAACTGGGCCTTAGAGTGTTCGTTCACGTTAGCTTTCAATTGCTTTTATATTTAACTTAATTATTATAATAATTAGACTTATCAAAGTACTCATATTTATGATTTTTTTTAATTTATTCAAATAATAACAATGAATATTTAAAAAAAAAACTTTTTTCCGATTCTTTTTTCTTTAAACAATATATATAAATTTTTGAAAAAAGAATTAAAACAGAAAAGTAAAATAATCAAAGTAATCATTTATACATAAATCTGATTGGAATATATTATATTTCCGAAAATCAACTATTTCTAATTTTGATAAAACTTTATGAAAAGCTTCCTCCTCCTCTCTCTCTCTTTCTTGGGGTTAAAACAAATTTTGGCAATTTCTACGATAAAACTATTTTTTAAATAAAATAAAATGAATAATGAGTATTTATATTAATGTGAAAATCATCAATTGTAATAATCTTAAAGTATATTTTAAAGAGAAAAAGTCACTGAGTTCCCTCTTTGTTTTTAAATAAATTAATTTTTTTACATTTACAATAGAATATTTTTTGGGTAATTATTTACTACAGGGGGATCGGATAACCTTAATTTGATATGACCTTGATAATATATGTCAAGGTCATTGGAACTGGATCCCCTATAATAAATAATCACCAATGTTTATTATTCATCTTATTATTTTATTTAAAAAAAATAGCTTCTTAGGAATCGTCAAAAATCTTTTTAAGGGCTTTCATTTTAACCCAAAATGAAGTTTTTGACAAAGTTTTATCAAAATTGGAGGTAGTCGGTTTTCAGAACTTTATCCATTTCATTAATTGGAATATATTTACATGTATTTATTTATATTTACATGTATTCAACACTTCCGTTAGACAGGAGCCAATTAGTCCATACTCGTCAAAGTTCGCAAAAAATTCGTATGAAAATACGGACTGGATATTCTCACGGATCGTCGTATAATCTGTTGTATTATTTCCTTGATTTATTGGTCGCTCGCTGACTCATTGTCCAGAGAAAATGATATTTTTTTCTACACAAATATAATGTTGGACGAAAAATTCGTGATAATGTAAAATATTTTCTTATTCAGCCTGCCATTATGTTGATGTTATTGATACGAACTAAGTCCACAAGTGGGCAATGCCGACACTATCCTTATGCACACTTTACTCATGATACCTGAGATATATTACCACCAAGTACGCCCAAAATAGTATTGAATTCGTACAGAGTTAATATATTATCCTTTCAATGTTACTGACAATGAAACCACATTAATGAAGGATATCAAAATGAGCTATACTAGTGTACTTGATTATTTATTTTATTTTATACGTTAATACATCAACTTTAACAATTTCTTTATCAATTATTCACAGACATCCGTTTTGTACCGATAAATTAAACAAACGACTTATTTTGTATTTATATTTATTCGTGAAATATTTAAATTGTAATGAAATTGTAAAACTATGATAATAATTGAAATTTTATTTAATGCAGAGAATTATATTATATAAGGTAAAAATATAATACGCAATTAATGTAAACAGAACATTGCCATAATAGTGTGATGTTGAGAAACAAAAAAAGTCGATGAATAATTCAAAGGAAAACAAATTAATACACGCGGGAGTGAACTTACATAAGATATTAAATTATTATTTATCTCCAAAAAATCTTCGGGATGAAGGAGTTGTATGATAAGATGATCATCAGATCGATCAAACACTTGTTCCTTTTTAAGAAATTCTCTAATAGATTGACAACATTGTTAACACTTGACGCCATCGTGAAGAATATATTGAAATTAAATGAATAGTCAATCTATACTCTCTCATAGAATCTCTTCCATTTCGACTGAATCATTCTAAATGCTCTATGTGTGTGTGTGTGTGTGTGTGTGTGTGTGTGTGTGTGTGTGTGTG